TTTCTTGGAATTAAATATTCAAGCCCCTGTGAATCTTATAAACACTTAGTGTAGGTCAAGGCAGTCAAAAGAGGCCATGCTGCAGCACTACTTCAAAGTAGCCTGACAAACATATAGTTTACACAAACACGCAGATTAGCATGGGGAACAGCTTCAGTCACACCATAACTAAAATCCACTTCATTCTTTTTTCTCTTCAGAATGAACTTCTTTTTAGAAACTCAAAAGAGGTTATAAACAAGACAGTACCACTAGAACCATCTGGCTCTTTCGGTTTAGACAGAAGACTCAGCTGGAACTCGACTGAGCTGTTTCTTGAAAGAGGCCAGCGTATCATTTTTGACAACATGGCTGTTCCAGACTCCCACACCCCTCTGCGTAAAAACATACCTCCCATTTTCTCTCGCGTTTAAACGCACTTCGCCTTAGTTTCCATTTGGATCTTCTGGGTTGTGGCGATTCTCAAGAATTCCATTGGGTTGCCGATAATTTAAAGAAACTATTACCATATACGATCCCTTCAAATAACATAAATTCTGCACATAACATTGCATCCAGATGGATTTTGTTCAGTGTATTTCCCTGCTGCAATGTGCACTGTCACTGCGAGCTAGCTTGGGGGAACACTCTGTCCCGTAATGATATCACAGTGTAGAGACAGAGTATTACATGGATAAGAACATCAGGGCGATACAGCTAGCAGGCACTGTGTGCAAACTGGAGTTGGATGTCTGCCACAGCTAATTACTAGGTTTTTATTTCCAAGCTGCCTGTAGGGCTGATGGCTCAAATGTGATTAGAACTAAATATAAACTTTTAAATTTAGCATGCTGTCTAAATATGCCACTATCTGGATATAAGCCAGGAAAAAAATCAGAAGGAAATTAAATATCTCTCGGGTTGCAATTGAAAAACCCTACCGAGCTCCTTATCATTTAGAAAAGAGTCCAAGGCATACAGTATGACTGTTTTAATTTCCTGGATTCAATCGAAGCGGTCTCTCACAAATGCACAGCCCACACCCATCCACCTTAAGATCTTTCAATGTGATTTTAAATAGCACACAACATTATAGCTTCTTATAAATGCCCTGAAGCTGTAATTCATCCTCGATGATCTAGACTGTCTGTACAACGCGCTGTCACCTGAGGCATGTTCGCTCCCTGTCCTTCCCAGCCTGCCTTGCTGGCACCTTCAGCTTAAACCTGCAACAGGCAGCTCTGGGCACCAAGGACCAACTAAGTCTCTGGGATTGACAGTCTTCAGGATCTCAGTTACTTACGTGACCCAGTTCGCTGGTGAAGTGAACTAATGAAAGCTGGGTTTTCAGGTCTCCTGGTAGGGATTTAAAAAGACCAGCTTATGTGCCAGGAGGTTTACTCTTCATCATGCTTTATTTTGAGGATTTCAGGAAACCACTTTAATTCAAACCCTTTCAAGAAAGCAAACTACTATTTTCACACAACCCTATGCATGTAATGCCTACACACCGGAAGGGCACAGCATTTGTGTTTTGCACTCCAAAACCAGTCTCAGAGAGCAGGAGTGAACGGACTTTATTAAACATAAAATACTCAGGCATTGTACTTCTCAGTCATGGTTTTTTCCCCTCCATGCGAGATGATTATCGTTGCAAGTTCATAGCAAAATTCCATCCCAATTTAGACTGCACTGTTCCCACATCTTTGTAGAGCACTGTGGGTCAGTGTATGAGTTGCAAACTTCACAAGGCCATATTCTATTGACTTAGGACCGTCTGCAGACACTATGATGTGTTCAACACAGGTCACACTGATCCCAGCCCTGGTCCTGGGGAACACCTATATCAGCTGAGCTCTTATTCACTGGGGAGAAGGTGAGAACGAGGTCCTAAACTGACCTGTTTGACTTCTTTTTTCAGCACTGACTCCACCCATGAATTTTCTAACTTTTCCTATCCAGGGTTGCCGAAACCTGTCCCAGCAACCAATGGGCGCAAGGCAGGGTACACCCTGGATGGGACGCCAGTCCATCACCAGCCAGACATTACAACTCCCATCAATTAAGCTACCCGTATGGCTCTGGACCGTGGGAGGAAACCCAAGCGAACACGGGGAGAACAAGCAGACTCCACACAGACAGCACCCCAGGTCCAGAATTGAACCCGGGCCCCAGCGCTGCAAGGCTTCTTCCAGCAGCTTCACCATGCAGAACGGTCGGCTCATTTCTTCTCAGCTTGTCCGTTCAGGGTTTGCCCCCTTACGTCTGCAAGCTCTTACTGGGTGATCAGCGCATGACGAGCAGGCCGCAATAATAACACATCGGACACTCCCACGACGAGGGCTTCCTTCTTTTTGGAAACGTCCCGTTGGGCCCAGGTTAAAGGGGCCCAGGGGGAGTCACGGACTTCAGACACTGGTACGGGCCAGGTGTCCAACACAAGACCCGTCTGACCCTGACAGAGCTGAAAGCAAATTCAAAACAAAATGTGCCGCCATCAATTAAAAAAAAAAACTCTGCAGGAGAAGACGCAGCATTTGGCAGGAACAGAGCTTGGAGCCACTGTTACCCAACCAAAGGCAGTTGTGACATTCAGCTACAGATCTCTCTGGAGGTTAGAGAGCACATCAACCAGCTACACCCACAATTTTCACACTCTTTGAGCCAGAATCGATCACATTCAATGCAATCAGCGGTTTCCATTTGTTTTAGCTGCCTGGCAGGCACCCTGGCCAGAGTGTCGCACGGAAACTGGCACACCTGCCCCCACTATGCCTTCTGCTCTTTCAGCAGGCCCACAATGCTGTCTCTGCGGGCTGTGTACGGGGCACGCTGCAGCCTGAACCAGCTGGAGGGGAACAAGTTGCCACTTGGCGCGAACATCTCTTCCCCCTTCCTGCCCATCAGACCACGAAGGGCGACGTTGCGCGCCAGGAGTTTATTGTAAAACTCCACTCCTCCTGTGGCGTAGTCCGTAGAGAGGCTGGCCGCTCTCCGGTCCCACCGGTAGTCGAGCCACTGGCCCACGGCGTCGGAAACCAGGCAGTAGCCGGCAGCCCCGACGGTCAGCACGGCGGCGTTGGCCAGCCCCCGCAGGAGCACCGGGCCGGCGTACAGGCCGAGGAGCTGCTTGACGGCCACGCCGCAGAGGCAGGTGAGCGCCAGGCCCGCCGGGGCCACCGCCGCCAGGAGGACGGGACCTCCGCCCTGCAGGCGCGCCACCTCCCTGCCGATGGCGAAGCGCTGCGCCGCGGGCGACAGCACCAGCGACTCCCGCAGCGCCCGGCCCGGGCTGCCGTCCCCCCGCACCGCCTCGCCGTTTATCAGGATGACCCGGTCCGAGATGCCCGCCGGGGCGTCCGCCGTGCTGTCGAAATGGGCGGGGACGCCGATCCGAGCCCCCGCCGGCAACCACGGCAGCCCGGCCCCCACCGGATGAAAGCCGAAGGCGGCGAAGGCGCTGTACTTCCGCGGGTCCCTGACCCCCGCGTCCCGCAAGACATCCTGGAAGGTCTTGCGCAGGGTCTCCGAGAGGCTGGCCGGCTCTCCTTTGCTCCAGGCTTGGTGCAGCTTCCTGTAGGTCTGCTCCGGGAACACGTGGTGGAGGACCTGCACGGAGAACGCCCCGGCGCAGGAGCCGACGAGCAGCCCTGTCCGGTGCCTCTGCACGAACAGGGCGAGCTTTCTGGCGAGCCGGCCGGCCATCCGAGAGGCGCTGACGGTCCGGAGGTCCGGCGCTCTGTGCATGGCGGAGAAAAGGGGACAGAGCAAGAAGGAAAGGTTTTATTTTGGCGCTGTAAACGTGCGATCTTGAACTGGGTCACATCTTTAAACCTAATAGGCATACGAGTATGACTTCCGACAGAATTGCTCACACCACCTCTCTCCATGTTCTGCAAAACAAAAACATCACCTAAATCAAAACGCACAGTAACATCCACAGCTTCCTGACTTCGACTTATTGTTTTTTCTAAATGTCATTATTGCACCTCGAGGCTTAGCTTATCGTGTAGACTTCTGTATGAAATACAGATTCTAAGCATAAAAGGGAAAACAAACGTTTTAAAACGCATTTAAAACTCGAAGCAGAAGTTTTGAAACTCAACACGAACCTCAAAATGCAGAATATTCGCAATGCCAAAAGAGAGATACGTTATAAAAACCAAAATACAGCTGAATAAAAGTTAAAAGCACTACTTATTAAACACCCGATATGCACACTTCCCCGCAAGGACAAACCCCAAACCTGTCTAAAAAGCACAGCGCCGTAAAGCAGATTGTTCTAAACACGTCTCGCCTGCACGACAGTTCAGTCCCACTTACGGTTTCCGTAGCGTCTTGTTTTAAGTTCCTCTTGTCAAAATTTTAATATTTCGAATGTCTGGAGACAAGAAAAAATAAATCAACAGAATGAAATAATTTACCAATATAAAAAATAATACAACTAATAAAAACAAATCTCGTAGTATGCTTTAGTAGGAAACATTATAAAGTCTTTTCCTCAGACTGCCATTAGTGATGTTGACCAGCAGAGAGCACTGTTTACACCGTGTCAGTGAAAAGTGTCCATTACCAAATACAAACACTATTACATTTGTAACTTTTATTTGGATGCTTGTGTGGATATGCACTACAAAGAATCATGAGAAATATATTACCAAATGGAAGCTCTTCTTTTTGGAAATTGTGTTTCAATCTGCATCTAAAGGAGAGATTGCAGTATTGCTCTTCACACTCAAGAGTGAGCACTTGAAACAAGGCCTTTACAGATAGTTATTGTAAAAAATAGACAAATAGATGAAAGGAGAAAGAAGGAAAGCTCTTCTTGATTTTTCACTTTTCTGATGCACTGATAAATTTGCTACATATTCATTTGACTGTTTATAAAAATAAAACTGCAGCGGCTTCATCGCCACCAAAAACATTCATGGGAACCTAAACACTGAGTAAACCAGTAGAGGCCAAACAGCCCAACCAGCCTGTCTGGCAGTGAGTGGTGGATTTATTCACAGATGTCATCCAGCCTTGTTTTGAAAGAAGGCAGGGCGTCAGGTTCAAGCGCATGACTGAGTGACTTGTTTCATCCTCCAATAGCCATCGATTCAGAGCAGAATCATTGTTTTGAGAATCGGTCAGGAGCTTGAGGGTTAGCTGGGATCAGCCCTTCCCTTTCAGTAAAGAAGTGCCTCCTGCTCCTTGATTTGGGTTTCAGCTGTGACCACATGCAGTAGAATGCAGTGTGAAAACAGCACGTCAGCTTTCAGCACATCTAGTCCCTTTGTTACAGGAATTGCCAGTTCATCTATGTCAGGCATTCAGCGTGTGATGGCATTGAAGCTTTGTGTCCCAGTGCATCTTTCTCGTGCCTCATTGCTCACTGCTGCATGCAGGGGCCACCAGTCTGAAAGATCCTGAAAGATCAGGTAAATGTGATCAATCTTTGAAAACTTGCAAGAGATGCTGGCAGCCTTCTCCTTTAAAGTGCTTTGGTGAGGGGCTGAGAACAGCATGACGGTGTGAGCTGACTGAATGTCTAGGTAGTGGACGTCTTCAGGATCCACAGTGAGACATGAGCCAGAGGACACACGAGTTGTGGGGGTGGGGAAGAAGCTGCCCAGTCATGTTGCTGAAACCCATATCCTGGCTTCTTTCAAGAAGCAGTTGGAGGAGATCTTCAGATCAATTAGCTACTAACAATTAGGTGGGATAAGCGGTTAAGTGGTATTCTCAGAAAATGAGGTTTCCAGATGACGAAGGGAAGAGAGATATGAAAAGGGTCTGATGCGCAGCGAGACCTCCCACAATCCACACCAAGCTCATTGGCTGTTCCATAGATTGTTCTTCCCCTCATGTACTAACAAGCACCAGTAAAGGAAACCTGAGGCGTGAATCGTATTGTTGACATTAAATTGACATGCAATTCCATGCATCGTCAAAAGCAGATAATCCTTTCAGCCAAACTGGGAATACAGTGATGTTTCCTGCGGCTGCTGTCCTTATGTCTTGTGTTGTAAGTCTTCTGAGTCTTATGCGCCGTACGGTGTTCACATGACTGCAGCAGCAAGGCAGCAGGTGTCACAGACGCCGGAAAGGCCTTCTGTGGAATGAACAGAAGAGCAGTAGAGACCCTATACGAAGTGGCAAAAACGGGACAAACACAGAGGTTTGCTCTGGGCTCAGGGGTCAGGGGTCAGACGATGTTGAGGATGAAGCCTATGCCCTCAGGACACGGATGTGGGGTGACCTGGTGCTAGGCTGGCCTCACGACATCTGTACCCTAATGCTGAGCCGGGGACACTGGAGACACAGGGACTAAATAGGAAACGGAAACAAGACGCAACGGAAGGACTTGCGTAATCACACGGAACTAGGAACAGGAAAGAAGTGGAGCCCCCTCTAGGGGTTGGATATCGACTGAGCAAGTACCACAGATAGAATAAGCTGCACAGCACAGGGGGGAGGAAAAACCTCATTTACCTGTCAGGAAACCTCCGGGAGTCCACGGCTTAGAGCTACCCCCTCCTCCAGCGTTATAATAATTTTTAATAACATGTGGTAGAGGGAGCTGGATGTCTCTCGTGGACCATGACAGCAGGCTTCAGAAGAGACCAGGAGTCTGGGGGCCATCAAGGGCCACTCAGCTAGAGAACAAATTCACCTGAAGTACAGTATCCATGGGAATGGCCTCCTGGAGCAGCCTGCACCTCCTTCATCCCATTCCCATGACCCCCTGCTTCACTGGGCTGGGGCTTGGCGGCCCTCAGGTGCTCATTCATCTCCACCTCAGACAAGATTAGCAGTGGAGCCTCCATTCTGCTGCTATTTCCCATGGAACCAGCAGGTGGGGCCGTAGGTACGTTCCTTTGAGAAGCACTGGTGCTGGCTAGGTGTGCTGTATTGACCTGTTGTGATGACCTTTTCACTGGCACCTGATTGAGCCTGGAGGGAACCCCTTCTATCTGACCAATGAAGTAAATCCTTAGATTAATGCAGGGATGTAAGCGTGGGTTGTCCTGTGTGGCTGCACAGACCTGAACACTGTCTTCACATTATGGACAAGGCTTGATGAGTTGGACAGGTGCCCAGGGGTGTATGAGGATGACAGTGTCATCGCACGGCTGTGTCGGTATCCAGGTGGCAAAAGGAACAAACAGAAGTCAATTCCAACCAGAAAAGAAAAAAAAAGGGAGTTAAGTGCACAGTTTTTTTTGACCATATTGCCATCTACAGGTCTGTCAACCCTTCACTAGGAGAGCAGAATGCAGTGCACCAGAAGCACCTGTGCCTCATGAGAGGTCTACAGCTGACGCCTCGTGCATTTCACCCTCTTTTCAACATGTCACTAGTCCCAGCATACTATAACATAGCCAGGTATAATCTACAATTGACAAATAAAATCCAAACAGCAGGGTATGGCACTGCCTTTGCTCTTGAGATATATACAGAATATCATGAGTGTTTCCATTTAACATTACCCCTGTCCTGAGAATTACTCTGTGACTACATCACTGCAACAGTAGCTCAGCAGCTGGCCATAATGCAGCTATATAGCTTTACCAAGGGCTATGATCGTGTTAATGTTGCAAATATCCAACTAGATACCAGTTTGAAAAGGGCAGATCTTCCAGCATAGGGTGTTATACAATTCTGTCCTGAACATCACATAGAACAGAACATACTGTTCTAAACGAGAAAGCACTGTTACTATTGGCAAAAACAGGAATTTAAATGCTCTGTTGAGAGAGATAAACGCATAGCCTGTTGCCCGAGTTTTATCTGGGATATAATGCTACTACAGGCAACACATCCTCTAACAGAGGTTAAAAGTGTACAGAGTTAAAATAAGACGCAGGGGCTCAGAAATGAAATAACAAAAAGATTGAAATACGGACTTCTAGACGCAATTTGACTCCATTAAAGACGTCTGGTATTTGCTCCAGAATTTTTAAACCAAGTGCCGGAAGTCCCTGTAATATATAACTTACCTTCATATAAGATAGCGTTAACAAATGCGTGAAACGTGCTGGAGACCATTGTCACGCCTGGGGTTCAGTGGGGGCGATTTATCGGCTTCTTCCGGCTCTTCAGGTGACCCGCAGACACAGCGCCTCCTCCGGGCCCAGGGACCTGCAGAACCTCTGGGCATCTCCGTGCAAACCAAGTCCCGAGATCTGGGACTTGCTCAAGAGCGCGTCGCAAAGGCGGGTCGAAGGGTTACTTATGTTAAAGACAGTTGACGTATATGAAGGGCGCAAATTAAAACGAAGGAAGCCTATGTGACCTAATGAGTTTATTTTCTTTGGGATACGTCAGACTCTACGTTTGACATTGTATAACTGGTATTCATCCGCTCGCTTGCCTCGTTTTCATAAGACTTCATGATTTTTTATATATATATACTTGAAAAAGTAATGTGGCCATATAGAATTTAACAGGTGCATGATTTCTAAACTTATTTAGTTTTCCTGACGTGTAATAACCCTGGTTTGCCTTAAAACACAAATATAAAAAAAAACGGAAACGCAAATACTGCTTTGTATCTGCAGTGGTTCTGACACGAACCGACAGAGACGCGTAAGAAAGCCGACAGCTGAAGTGCTGAAACTCCGTGGCTTTAACGAGTGAAGATACCCGGAAAGCCATAACTAACCTGCTGGGAAGGATGAGAGCTCAATAAAACATAGAAATGGCCTCACTGAAACATCACTGTAGCTCAACAAACAGTATTTCTTGTATTTGATAAAACACCGAGTAGCCTTGTCTCAGATATAGTCAGCTCCCTGTAATGGATAAGAAAGAAAGGAATAGTTTTAAATGTCAGGCATGCGAAAACTATTTCACGCGAAACCAGTCGACTCAGATCAGGCACCTGCGAGTGCCCAGTCTCTGGAGTGGGACATGCAGCAAAAACCGATCCTTACATCTGATCAAAGGTTTCAGTGCTCACAAACAGATATGTTGCATGTTAGGATGGAGTCCGTCTTTCAGTATAATTCTCCTTTCGGATGTGCATGAGCTCATTATTGATCTGCAGTCTTCATCGCAGGCCCACGGTAGTGAGCAGCGTTATGTGAAAGGGAAATTGAACACCCAAACGGTCGGGAAAATGTAGCGTAACACGGGATTCAGGCGGTGAATCTCCATTAGTGAGCACTACCATCAGAGCTGCCTTTTGTTTTATTGCAGATGTATAAATGTTAATGACAGCAGCATGACATCAGTGTCGAGGAGTCATTTTAACCCGCAGCTGGTGAGCAGCTCCAATCACCCTCCCAACACCCCCGCTAATCTAATTCTCCAAGAGACAGAAAGGGAGGCGAGGGGGGAGTTGCGTAAGGACAGTGCTAACCGTAATGACATTTCAGGATTGAGATGTCTTTGCTGCTGGGCCACTGAGTAACTGCGACTCGCCGTTTTCAAAGCCAGACGCTCGACGACTCTGCACGTCTGAGGCGGGGCGCCTCGCGGGAGAGGCAGAGGTTGCGTCACCGCTAGCAAAAAGCGTCACTCGGGCCCAGCGACCGCAGATTTAAAGGCACAGCTACGACGTGGGATTTTTCTCGGGAAAGGCGGGCTTAATTAAAACCCCGGCAGGCACAACGGACTGTTTGACAGCTGACTGGTCGGAGTGTCGCTGTTCCTGTCACTGAGCTCAGACATTTCGTCCTGTCTCTCGCCTGCTCAGACCATCACAGAACAGCGGCTCCTTGATTTCTGATTTCTGTGGGACCATGTCTACAGGTCAATGAAAAACAACGAAAAGAACATTACAAATGACAAATCTCCTATAACTGACTTGCAGTGGAGCACAGCTTACACCTGTTCACAAGACTTTAGACAGTAAAAAACATTTAAAAAAATCTTAAATACACTCTGATAGTTCACAAAAACCTGTTTGAAAACTTTTCAGTGACTGTGGAGGTTATTTGTTATTATTTGCCCTGCCATAATTTTATTCTAGTTTCTAATTACGTTTTTGGCTCGGATTTATTTTGTTATTATTTCCACGTTCATCTGTTTTTTTTTTATTTGCTACCGAAGGTCTAGTAACTGTGTCCTGTGACTGCCTCCCAAAAACTGAGTCTGGTCGCTGTTGTTATCTAGACGTCTTTCCATGAAGGAATCTGCATTGGTCGATCATGGCAGCGGCTATATTGGTTCACAGGCTGCACGATCAATGAGAATTGTATTATTATTATTATTTGATCAGCACCATACAAAAAATCTATATTGCTGCCCTGGAATGAGTCCAGAGACGAGCAGCTGACTGGTCGGAGTGTCGCTCCGGGACTGAAGACGCTCTGAAGACGCTGAAATGACGCTCTGGATACAGCCTGGGACTGAAGGGGTTGTCCTGACTGTCCCTGACTGCCCTGGCGCTGACTGGCTGGAGGAACTGAACCTTCATGATCTGAAACAGAGAGGAACAGAGGATCTGATTCACATATTCAGAATCCCCACAGGCCTAGACAGGGGCAACACAGCGGGTTTCCTGAGAATGAACAGTGAACCACAAGCCAGAGGGCACAAGTGGACACTACAGGGAAATGCATTTAAAACTGAGAAGAGGGGGGGGGGGGCACATCTTTACACAAAGGGTGGTGGGAGTGTGGAACACGCTGTCCAGCCATGCTGTTGAAGCTGATACTCTGGCTCCTTTCAAGAAACAGCTACTGTAGAGGAGATCCTGGGATCAATTAACTACTGACTTCCAAAGGGGACAGATGAGCCTCTGCTTGTTTTTTTTACCTTTCTTATGTTCTTATTACCTCCATCGCCTACACAAAACATAAACACAACACTGTTCTATATCTCAAGGAGTTAAACACTCACGTCGTTTTGTCTAGAAATATCTTATGAACTCATATTGATTAACTGAATACTGGAATAATAAATCCCCACAGTTTATCCTTTCTCCTCTACCAGTGAGATTAATGTGAAAAAAATGTAGGATAGTAGTCATATTCTACACGCGCTCTCGCTCTGGGCACTAAATCACTTATTTGTCTCAGGAGGAGATAGCTTCGCAGAAGAGAAAAACTTTTCCACCCACTGTACATTTTATACAATTCAGGTGCATACTGTATGTAGCAATATTCACTGGGTCTCAGTAAAACCTCTTTTTTCATCTAAGGCAGGACACCATGCTTTGAATGCTACTCTGATGCTTGAACCTTTCAGATAGCTGAGGGTGATCTGGACTGCAATAACGAGGGTCTGAGGCTGCAGAGTCTTGTACTGTCTGTGTTGAAGCAGGGCTCAGATCTGGTACGGGACGTGATTAGAGCCATTGTTCAATCTAATCATCACATCACATCACTAAATGCACATGACATCATCGCGCAAAGTGCAAGAGGTGGCCCTGTCTCGTGGCAAGAGGAACATCAGTTACAACAGGCGTTCCACACTCTTTCAGGTACATTCATCAGCATTAATTCATTCTGGATTTATTTCTAGCCCGTTAGCTGCCCTAATGAAGCATGCAACATGAGGTGGCAGCTGACGTGTGATGTATTAATTAAGGCAGGCACGACTGCCAATTCCTTTCCACTCTTTCCATCGGCAGTCCTGTCCCCCTGGTATTATTGCTGCAGGTCAGGTCCAGACTGGAGCACAGTCACACAAAAGTCGAAGTTAAAGTCAAGATCTGATCTCTTAGTTCAGATTTGATTCCCTCCCACAGCTTATACCCAGATGCAGAAACGCCCAACACAGCACGGAAAACAAAACCACACCTCGTGATTTGTTTCTGTAATTTCTCAAGGGAGTAAAGAATGGGGTGTTCATTGCTTTCCTCTGGAGTACAATGTATCAGGAAAGAAACAACAAAAAAACAGCAAAGAATGTGTCAGGGACATGGATTCAGACTTCCTCTCGCGCTGAAAGACAGAGGTGTTGGAGAAACATACTGGGATACAAAGTAATCCCGGCTGCCAAAAAACTCAGCCACAGTAAGACTGCAAGACTGCTGGCCTCTGCCTTCGTTTTCATTGTGTTTAAATCAGAAACACTTCGAGCTTTGCAGGAAGTACAGCACAGCCCCGCAACAAATTTCAGTCTCTCTCTATGTTATCATGCCGTTTGGTTTAATGAAATACAAACACTCCATAACAGCTAGTTCTTTCAGGACAGAGAAAGGTATCAGCACCTCTTATGTTTGAGATTAAACATTTGTCTTCAGTTCATGCAACACATTTTCAGCTGATCTCATTATTCCTAAGAAATGTGATTCTGTTCCCTGGAATTGAGTATTTTGCTGAGGCAGTGCCAGGGTTCAGAATGCTAGTTTTCCCTTTAATATTCCCTGTGTATTCCCTTTAATATACTGAATGTTAATGTGATTTAACCAAATGAGTAAAATGATTTTTTACAAGCTAAATGAGACTAAAAATAATGCAATTAATATTGAATGCAAAGTCCATTGCAAAAACAATTTCCTGGGAAGTTTAGATTGCTTGAATTTGTCAATGTACTAGCTTTTGTTTGACAAATAGACCTTTTCACAATACAGTTGTAGGATAGGCTGGGCTAAAATAAAGTAAATGTTGGGTGAATTGGACACATGCAGGCAGCACATTTTTTTATTTTAATCTGCATAGTTCTTTTTAAAAAACTTGCTCAATAAAATAAAATGAAAACAAGATAAAATGAGATTTGTGTAACATTAAAATAGAAAGAAGACAAATCCTTTATTTTGTTATTCTCTGCACATTTTGAGAGGAGATGTGTGGGAATCCAAATCTGAATCAATTGAATATATAAAATATAAAATAAAATAAATAAAAATATACAAATGTGTACTGTAAACTATCAGACTGATAACCCTAACGTAAGATGAACGTTCAGCACAGAGAAGATATTATTTAGAATAAAACAGTTGGCTATATGAGGATAAGGAAACATTGTTCAATGAAAAGATTCGGTTGACAATGAGAAAAAACAGAACTGAAAAATGGACATGCAGGCAAAAGTGAGAAAGCTGCAAGTTAATAGTGTGGTGAATCTCATTGTGACTCAGGTTGAGCTGGACGTAACTGGACATGATGACTTCACAGATCTGTCTGTCTGAACAAGAAGTGATGACTGTCACTTGCAGACTCTGTTAACTTTTAGATGTGATTGTTCCCGCGGAGCTCAAATTGGATTAAAGAGAATTATATTTAAAAAACAATCTATACTATCAGGGTTAAATAGGAGATATTACTCTGGGTATTTTGAATTTATGTTCTTGTTCTAAACTGTATTTTCTCCTGGGAGAGCCCATAGAGACCAGCTTGAGAACATTGGGCTGTTG